ATTTTTTCAAAGCACTGCTACATATTTGAAATACGATGTTTCCACAGAATGACACAAGACATCGTCTCGCGTCTTCATCTATAGAAAATAATAGTTAAAACAAATAGAAGGCCATCTTTCATTATCATCTCGTATTCTTCTTCATCAGCTAGTTTATATCATAAACAACATCATCTACCTTAGAAAGAGATAAGCAAAGCCTAGGGTACATACGCAGTATTCAGAGCAGGTCTGAGTAATTAGGTTTAAGGCCTATGAACAAAAACAGTCAAGTTGCGTCGGAAGTGGGTGATCCAACCACCATTCATGACGTTAGCACTGCTAATTTGGTGATATAGTTTTTTTTATTATTTATTTATTTGCACGTATAAGTGTGATACATTATTATCATGCAGCCTTCATCTAACAACAACCGATGTCCTCTAAAAGAAATCTGGCGTTCATTGCCCACCATTTCTCTCTGGTGCATACACACCGTGCGCTTACATGGCGCCGTCCACTACCTCGAGTTGAGGACCAATTTCCGATATTAGTCTCAATGTATGAGAGCGAATGCGCTAGTCGTCTCTAGTCCATGTGGACCCAACCAAAACTTGCCGATTCCATGGCAGCGTTACTGGTGCGTCCGCAGTTTGATTGTAGGAGGATAGGTGATGTATCCACAATAGCTCTGTCAGCTCCCGCCGGCCTTCCTGTAATTCTGGCGCTAGCACGGTGCCAACGTGCCATTCGACCCACCTGCTCGCGAGCTAATAGGGGCACTGCCGCATATTGATAGCGATGAGCAGAACAAGAGCACGCTCAAAGCCGCACACATAAGAGGTTTATTACAATAGACTAAGCCTCGCAAAGGTCTTATCGCTGAATTTGCTGCTGGATATTGTGAGTGGTACAGTAACCACATCACTGGCTGTTGACTTTTGGTGGATTGTCGTAATCTCACCACTTTCCTGATTACTTCAGGCCCCCGGCTCACACACTTCGTACATACATAACGTTATATCTTTGACACAACACGATCTCAATGAGATAATGATATTCTCCTTTTTGCCCTCCATCACTTAAGCCTCTCAAGCCCCCCACCTACAAACACCTTCATTCCTGTCATGGGCGTCCTCCTTCTCCTCGGTCTGCTACGCCGTCTGCGCAACAATAATGACGACTACCAACAGGACTACGAGCAAGAACTGCGTCGCGAATACCACCGCCAATGCAAGCGTCAGCGCCGTTGGAATCGCCGCCACCCGCACTGCCCCGCTCCGGTGCCTGCTCCTGTTACAGCTGTGCCGGTCGTCCTTCAACCAGCGGCGCAGCAGTCTACAGCGACGTCAATGCAGCAGCCCCAAGTTGTGCAGCCAGCATACCCTACCGACTCAACATCCAAGGGCATTTCTGTGTAATTACGAAAGAAGATTCTGCCCCCCCCCCCCCCCCATATATATATGCGAGCAGCTCGCCCCCATGACCTGTTCCGCACGTCTAATACACTATGCCATCATTGTTTTTTTTTTAACAATACGTCTGTGATGTTAGTCTACCATGTAGTCGTCGAATAGCGTGATGAGTAACGCCGTGATATTAACGCGACTACAGCCGTGGTCTTACCGCCAATCTAGAACGCTTCTGCTGTATTTCATCTTGTGTGAATCACACATGAGGAAATACAGCAGAAGCGTTCTCACACTGTGTGATGGAATGAAATGCTTGCTGCGCGTTTGGCCCATACGGTATTCGAGTGCACAATGCCACCTTCTTCAACGCTCGAGTGCAAGCTGCTCCTGCCAAATTTTCCTCAACACGGTATCTCTGCGGTCCGGTCACCAGCCTTTGTGCATGTACCGGTAAGAATGTTTTAGGACTACATGTATTCGCTCCATTCATACAGCTTACATGTACTTAGTATTGAGTAACATGCGTGCAGTCTGGTAAGACACTTCTAAATACACGAGTCGAAAAGCGACTACATCTGATTCGGAAATCTTTTGACCAAAGATTTGTTAGGCGAACGGTTGGTCAGCAGAGCTCCGCTGCGTTGCCCAGGCAGACAGGTCAGTAGTGTGGGTGCTGACGCCTTGATGATGGAGCACTGCATTGATGAAGCCTAAGCCGATGAGTCCTCACACTCAGATGGCGGTCAACGATTTGCCCTGAAGGCGTTTCGCTAATAGCGCAGCAGCGGCAAATGGCCAGCAAAAAGTGACTGTCGCCGCTACCTTTTACTGTAGTCACAGCACCTATACAGTGACTTCAGGAAATTGTATCATTCTGCTTGGGGGGATATCAATGGTATTGCCTCGAGCGAGTGTCGATTTTCGTACTCCGAATACCGGAGCGCACGCCCGAAGGTGAATCCCGGTGTCAGCTGCAAGTTGCCTGCAACCGCGCTGTTCGAGTCGTACGTGGTGCCTGGCGTGGTGTGGAAGGCCACTCTGTCGTCACCAGGACCAGCTGATCCCGTGGCCACCTCAACCAGGATCCGTCCATGACGCTGGAAGCGATCTTTTGCCGCGCGGGAATGCACCAAGCAACGCGGTTGAAGCGTGCAAATATCTACCTGACACTTGCAGACTCCAACATTGCAGGAGCCCCGCTCATATTCGAAAGCCGCCGCCGCAACGCCCCTCGCGGCGTTTCTCCCCCCGCCGGGAGCATGGCGTGCGAGGCGCCGGCTGCTTGCCCAGTGGCGCCATCTCCGCTGTCCCTCCACTCAGCGCTAGAGACGGGTGGACAGCCTCAACGTGATCCCGCTCACCGACTGATGCGGCGTCAAGGATGCCCAGTTTATCCGATGCAGCCTGGTCTCTCGGCGGCCAGCAGCTCAGGCGCATCGCCTCAGGTTGGCGTTGTCATTTTCATTTCTCGTCTTGCCTCCGACCGCGCGTAACCATTCCAATGGAGCGCACTGCCAACAGCTCCACTTTCGTTTTGGAACCCATCGACGCCCCGCCTTCCTCTCCTGCTTCTAGCAAAATGCAGAGCGAGGACTTTGCCCAATTCACCAGCTTCGTGGACGCCTGTTTGCGTGCCATCGAAAACACCCGTGAGGATCGGCTGATTCACGACCCGTTCGCTGAGCCGTTGACACGCGGAGTCGCGCCGCAGTTGACACCACGTCTCAACAAGTGGCAGGAGAAGCAGCCCCACCCGGAGAACTACATCGCCGTACGCGGTCGATATTTGGACGACGCCATCGCGCAGCGAAATCCTACTATCCGTCAGGTGGTTTTCCTCGGTGCTGGTCTCGACACCCGCGTGTTCCGACTGGAATCTTTACACGGATGCCACGTACTAGAACTCGATCAGAGCGCCGAGCTTTTTGAGCACAAGCGAACGGTATTAAAGGACCTGGATCCCAAACTCCTTGTAGACCGTCACGACTACGTCGTCGCGGACCTCAACGCCTTCAACTGGGAAGAGGGTCTTCTGTCCAGTGGCTTTAACCCGGACCTCCCGACCTTCTGGGCATTAGAAGGGATCATGATGTACCTGACCCAGGCCAGCAACCTCGCGCTGCTCAAGACCATTGACGTCTTATCAGCGCCGGGCAGTGAAGTGTGGGGCGACATGGCTGGGCGTGGATTGCTGGTGGACGACGGCCTAACTTTATTCAAGGACGTGAACGACCTGTACCGGAAGGAGCTGGGCGAACAGCTCTTTAAACACGCTGAAGACGATGTATTCGAGGGCGTGTTCAGTGAACTGCCCTGGGAGATGGAGGTGCAAGGAGCACTAGTGGAGCCAGGAACGCACTTTGGACGCGAGTGGATGCCCACGCTTACCAAAACGGAGAAGATCCCTGTGACGTTTAACTTTGTGTTAGCCAAGAAGCCACTGGCTGATCTGCCATAGCCAACAAACTATCTAAATGCGAAAGAAGCATATTAATGTATTACTAGAAGAGCTGAAGTTGCACTAAGAGGGCACTTGTTGGTACATGTTCATCTTGGTGATGGCGGTGGTACATGTAGAACACTTCCGTTACACAGAGTACTGCTATTCTGTAGTATTTGGTGTCCGAAACGGGCCGCGACCCTCTCACTTCTGAGCCTTTTGCATCCATGCCAGCCTCGTGCCGGTGAAGTATCAAATGACGCGGCGGAATCTGCAAAATGTCGTCGTGTTTAGCATCTTGCTACAGCTTCAGAGCGTTTCGAGAGTAGCAGCTCAGACTACAGACTCGCTCGGCTATCCAGATCCGCGGTACTCGACGACGCAGAGCTTGACAGCGTTCTCATGCACTGGCGGCGCTCGGAACTGCCCCAACGGCGGTCAATACGCTTCTGCTGGAGGCAACCTCACCTTGACTATCGTGGAAATGCGCAACTTACCTGATCTCGACAGCTTTGGATTAGCTGGTCTCGAGACTGATGCCTACGTTGAGGCTCTAATCGGCGACAACGTCCGCACGTCGGGCGTGGTGTGGAACTCGTTGAACCCCAAGTGGCCGCCCTGTACTGAGGCTGGATGCGCCGGGGAAGATGACCTCGTACGGGACCTGAACTTTGGTTTCCGACCAGCCGGAACGGAGATCATCGTTCGCGTTTGGGATAAAGACAGCGGCTTTGAGTTTGGCGACGACCTCGTGGCTCAAGTCACGCTCAATGCCATTTACTGCTCGGCTTTCTCCGCGTTGAAGCAAAAGCTACCGTCGAACGATACCTCGACGTGGGCACTAGCCGAGCAACCCATGTGTGTCGAGGAGCTTTGGATCCCTTTGACTGAAAGCGGAGACTGCACGGATGCCAAGACATCTGCACCGTGTATGCGTATCCGTATGACTGCTGTTCCGTTCCAGATGAGAACAGAGGAAGTGTTCGTGTCGGGTGCCTTGGTTAACGGAGGAATGGGTGGTTATTTCCCAGATGAGGAGTCTTGGCTCTACGGTAGAGTGTATTCGAGTTCGGACACGAGACTATTAAGTTACTACCGAATGGCAGATTCGCAAGGCGGACTACTGATCCGTTCGTCGAGTACTTCGAACAACAATAAAGGCAACACGTCGTTGATCAGTACGTATGGTTATGCGCCGTACTCACGCGTGACATTCAACTTCGCAGCTCAGCTCTTCGTGTTCCGGCGTGTGGATGATGAGGCTTCGTCGCCGGAGTGGCTTAACACGACGTTTGGTTGGGTCGAGACGCGTGAATACGCTCAATTGATGAACGTCGCCGGTGATTTTAAGGCTGTAGCGCAGAATTTCACTCCGCATGCTATTAACAAGTACGGCGACGCTGAAGGGCGAGGAGTTATCACGGGTGCCAACGTGGCTCTCAATTACACGGACACGACGCTGAGTATGTACTTCATTGTGGCTGTCCCGCATGAAACCTTGGACGTCGTACCTGCTGTCTACTCGAAGGAGTTCTCACGAGGGATATTTCTCGAGATAACAGTCCAATACGGACCCACCTTCGCGTTCTTGATGATTCTCGTCGTGCGATATCTGCGACGTATGCATTGGCGTGTTGAGCGTGTGCAGTCCTTCCTGGCCGAGAAAGTGGCAAACCCGAGCGGACAGCTATCAGCTGCAGCAGGTGTCCAACCAAAGGTGAAGGAGAAGAACAACACAGCGAAAGGGAAAGAGAAAATAGTGAAGAAGACCAAAGTCAAGAAGCCCGACATAGTAGCTCAGCTCTTCTTCTGCTACGGCGATGGAGAAAACAATGCGCAGTTTCGACGCAACTTGTGCTATGCAACCTGGGCGGTGAATATTGTGATCGCTTCACCTGTATTGATGCTGTTATCGTGGGGAGTGACGTCTATTGTACTGGTGACACCGCCGGCGTTCGGCTTTGGAATTGTTTTTCTGGGTATTGGAGCGTTAGGAGGAATCTATGCTGCTTCTGTGTGGGTACGTACGGGCTGGCGAATGACGAGACGAACGCTGTATCTCTTTGCAGTGGCGTTCTTTGGTGCCTTCGTGTTCCTCTTCTCTGCTACATTTGCAGATCCGAAAGTGTACGTTGGTGGCGAAGACTTGGACTTCTTCTCGCTCTCGTGCATTTTCCTCACTCTCAACATGATGCCGATCATCTGGCTTGCTTTCACTAATGACTCGAAGCTCTCTAAGTCTCTTAAACAAGTCATCGCTGTTGTAGGTGCTTCAAAGAAGGTCACCACACTCAAAAGCAAGTTCAAAAACCTCGGTACGCTTGGACTAAAACTTGCCACTGCAAAAAGTGACCACCAGGTTGTAGACCCTGAAGAATCAAAGACAAAACGGAAGCGGAAGGAATCGCCTTTCGCTGCGATCCTAGGCGATCACTATACGGTGGAGCAGTCTCTACCAGGCTTGGAGTACGCAGACATCCTCAAAAGTGTGTTCGTGACGCCTGCGTCGACACGAAGGCGTGTGAATCGCCGATGCTACTGGTCTGTGTTGGCGACACTGGTAGTGTATTGTATCGTGGCCAGTGCGTGGACTGAATACGGCACTCAAGCTGTCGGGATCTCCATAACACTGGTACTAGTGGACCTGTGCGTGTACATGTTGCATCGAGGCAAGAGCGCCAACAACTGGTCCGCCGGATACGTGGTGTTTCTACTGAGCTCCGTACGGGTCTGTCTTGCAGTCACTTGTGGCAGGTACTGGATCCTAGGCCACGCCTTCCTGTACATGGTGTTTGGCACTGCTCTGTGTCGAGAAATCATCGGTAGAAACCTGCCACGCATGAACAAACAAGAGGCCGGAGGCGTCACGTTCTTCGGCCACGACCCGCAAAAGGAACGTCAACACCAATTGGATGTGGGCACGACACCCGAGTTTGTGCTCGGGTTCTTGTCGTTCTTCTACCTCTTTTTGTTACTCGGCGTTGCCTTCGGTTCCGATGCGAACCAGACCGTTCAGGTGCCTGTCTTGGGTCAGGAGTGGCCGCTGTGGATCTTTGGAGTACTAGCGTTCATTGTCGTGCTCTTCGTTGGTCTCTCGCTTGCTACTTCAAGAGCATTCTTCCTTCAAAAGGAGCAGCTCTTGTCGGACTACGCCATGCACGTGTATCTATTCGTCCAGCCATTGCGATTGCCGTTCATGTTGGCTGCTGCGTCGGAAGTGCTCGTTATCTGCTCGGGCTTGTTCGTGTACGCATCGACACAATCAACATTCATCCTCGTCTCGTCGTTCTTCGCGCCACTCATACTCATGTTGTCACTGGCGGTGAATGTGCAATGGAAAAAGAACGACTATCGTCTCGTAGTTTGGCCTCCCGAAGACGACGAAGAAGACGTGCTAGATGACGACGATGACGGCGGGTTCTTGGACGCAGAAGCAGCTTTGGAGAAGGAAGCTGAACTCATGCGCGAGAACTTTGTCTTGCCTCCTCTGAAAGGCAAAGGGAACAACCACGTCTTCGATAGTGCCGACGAGACGTTCAAGATGCCCAATTTGCCGTCAAAAAGTTTACTCGGACTCGTTGGAGGTAAAGCTGCTGGCGTTATGAGTCCAACGAAAAAACTAGGCCTCGCACTACCGGGAAAAAGCAAACCAACACCTGACAAGCCCCCCAACTCGAAGACACAGGTAGGGGTCCCTGCTGTAACTGAAACTGGAGCAAACAATACGGCACTTGCCATCAAGCCTGCGAAGCCGTCCCGTTGTGCATGGTTGAGAGATCTTATGACTGGGAAGATCAGTTGCCGTGCATTCTTCTCGCGTAAAACGTGGTCGAAAAAGTACCGAGAAGAAAATAATCACTCTCCAGCGGGCAAGCCGCTTCTCAATCGTAATGGAGTTGCTAATACTGCCCAAGACGATGACGACGAGGAAGGTGCACGCCCGCTACTTGATGACAATGCCGCCAATAATGCCGTCTTGGCTCGTCGGAAAACGATGGCACAGGGTGGAGATGGCGACATTGACTTTGCAAAGATGACGTTGTATCAGGCTTACCAGCAGGGGTTCCTGCTACCACAAGATCACATGACTATCGGATGCTTTATTGCGTTGCTGTTCCTGATCATGCTGTATGGGATGATCCTCACTGCTACGGAGAATCCGTCCTGGTTAGGACAGGTGATCTGGACTGGAGCTTATATACTGATCTTCACGCTATCCCCAACGATCAAGTTCTTCAAGACGGCTACTTTCACGCCTGACATGAAATACTGCTTCGGCGGGAGTGCTGTGCTAGCTTGGATCACTGGATTCATATTATTCTTTGCGGTACTTAAAGCCGACGTGAACCAGGTGGAATCTCTCGTCATCCTCTCGATTCTGATGTTCTACCCGATCTTCTTGCTGTTCGCAGTCACACTAGGTCGCTGGCAGGACGAGAACTGGGTCATCACTCGTCTAATTCGACGTATTGGTGGAGTCTGCATGGTCGCCATCGTGCTCTGGGTTTTCGAGATGTACGTGTTCGTGAGTGTCGCCTTTGGCGGCGTCTTGACCTTCCTGCTGGCTTTATTCCTTTTCATCACGTACTATGTGGTCAAATGGGTCGAGAACGACCGATATCTCGCCCCAGTGTACCAACGACAAGCCAGTTTCATCGTCCTTTGTGCCACTGTTGCTGCTATCATCGCAGCTCTGGCATTAGGAATGAGTTTCTTCTCGTGTCTCTCGATCGTCTTTGTGGTTCTTTTGCTCAAATACTCACTACAGTTTGTTGCTGGCTGGATCGTGGCAAAGAGTTCGGCCGATGAGTCGGTCTTCTACTCTCCATATCTCTTCCCTGTCTTCTCCTACAATGCATTTACCAACAACGTCGTGGACGAGACGCACAACGTGCTTCCCCTTTACATGGTCTTCCTGTTGGTTTTCTTGTGGGGCGTCGCTGGTGTCATGTTCTTTGATCCTCTCGGCTTTGGTATCGGTCTGTGTAGCCTCGTGTTGTTAGCTTTCGCTGGTGTCACTGCACATTTGTGTGCTGTCACACCTGTACAAATGGGTATCGCCGCAAAATACGTCAACGAAATGATCCTCAAAGACGCCAGTGAAGCGGCTCAAGCTGTTGCAAACCGTCGTAGTCAGCCATTTACTCTCGAGTCGCCCGAGTTCGTGGAGCAAGAGCGTCGAGAAAAGAAAGCGGAGCTCGAATTCCAAGCCATTGCGTATGGCGGCGGTGCTGCTTCAGCGTTTGCGAGTCGAAAGAAAGGTACTAAAGCAGTAGATATCAAAGTCGAGGAAGAAATAGTGAAAGTCGAGCCAAGACTTACATGTGGGGATATCGCGCTTGATATCGAGGACGTAGATCGCCAATGTCGATACATCACTACTACACACGGTCTCGAAGTATGTCGACCTGATGGACTTTTGTCTTGGAAAGAAGTCAAGCAGGATATTTTCCAGCGTGGTGTAGGACCTTTCGGCTTCTTGTATGCGTTTACAGTTCCTCCTCGAGTATTCCGCTTCTTACGATGGAAATATTTCCCTGCTACGCTCAAGTGGAGAAGGAAGGCGAAAAGTGATACACAAGCCGATAGGCAAGCCGACACTCTTGAACGTGGTGACTGCCGGATTGATACAACACCAGCAGATCCTTCGCGAGATCTGGTGGAGTTACTGTTGCGACTACCTGAGCTGGACGCTGCGTTAGACCGCGCATTCTACGAAGAAACTCGATGCGTGATTCACTTGCAGTTGTTGATGTTAACAGCGTCGGATGCGCGATTGAGTCGAGAGAAGATCATGTTCCAGAAGTTTTTACGGGAGAACCGCTTCAAGCTCATGTCTAATGGTATCAGTCCTCCAGCAAATGTCTTCCGTACGAGTTCCTTTGCGTCGATTGATATCCCGTTAGTAGCTGTGTGGCTACTATCGCTCACTCCAGAATCTCGTGCCAGATTCCATGCTCTCAAAGCAGCATTCAACGAGGAAATGGAGCGCACGGACGCCATTGTCGATGCCGAAGATCGTGCTGCCCTTGTCGCTCAGAAGGAGCTACAAGAACACTGGGCGCCACGCGAAGCTGAACAGTGTCGTCAGCGTATGCAGGAGTTTCTGGCTCGGCGGCTACGTCGTGAAAGCGAAGGTATACTTACTGAGGAAGAAGATAGCAAACCAGGGTACGATGAGGGTCTCGTTAACGCAAAAGAAGCGCTGCTGGAGATCGAGTCGGGCTACTCGTGCGTTCCAGGAGAGTATGGTAGGTCTCTACAGTTCGTAGATCGAGAATTTCCACCAGATACGACGTCACTCACTGGATGTTCGCACGAATCTGAGGTTGCACCACAGTGGAAAGTATCGTCAGCTATCAACATTGCGTCAGGATTATTTGATGGAGGCACAGACCCCGATGATGTTCGTGTAGGTCGTCTGGACGATGCCTGGTTGTTGAGTGCGTTGAGTATTATGGCAGCATCAGGTGGTGTAGACGATGGCAAAGTGGATGAGCTTATCGATCGGTTGTTCGTGACCAAGCAGACTTCGCTCACTGGAGCGTACGCTCTGCGTCTCTATCAGAATTGTCAATGGGAGACGGTCGTCGTTGACGACTATTTCCCAGTGCTCTACGACTCGGCTGGAGATGAAGCCGAACTTTCGGTTAGTGCTGGCGCTGCATTCGCTCACAGTCGCGACTTTGAAGAGCTGTGGGTACCGCTGGTTGAGAAAGCGTTTGCGAAATACTACGGTGGGTATGCAGCGCTAGAACGTGGCTACGTGCACCACGCACTTCGAGTTCTATCGGGCTGTGAGTGCGAGGAAGTTTTCTTGGCTCCGGCAGCTAGAGGTGCACTGAAAAAGACGCTGTGGCAGCAGTTGAAGTTGTTCCGCAAGAACCAGTTCCTGTTGGGCGCAGCTTCACTGCCCAGTGAGCACGCAGACCCAGCTCTGCGTGCATCCGGCTTGGTGTTCGACGCCTGCTACGTGATCTACGACGTGCGCGATGTGGACGGCGCGCAGCTCTTGAAACTGCGAAACCCGCCAGGCGATCACGAGGAATGGAAAGGCGACTGGAGCGATAGTTCGCGTCTTTGGACTCGTCGTCTGCGCAAGCGTCTGGGTGTGCGGAAGGGAGAGGACACTGGAGAGGATAACACCTTCTGGATGAGCTTCGACGACTTTTGTCACGCCTTCCGAGCGCTCTACGTGTGTCGTTACTACGATCCCGACAAATGGACCGTCAAGACATTGGACGCACGCTTCTCACGCGAAGATGCCACCTCCAGTGGACTCCCGACAAGGCACAACCCTGGATGTACTGGACTGGACAACAACCCGCACTTTTCGCTGCGCGTATCGCGTCCGACGGAGGTTATCGTGACGGTCACGCAGGTGGACTCTCGTGGCATGGCACCAGTGGCTGTGCTGCCTATTGCTGTGTATATTGTGGCTCATCAAGACCAAAAAGACCGAGCACGACGTGTTACTGCTCTCAATCAGGACAACGTCACAGTGCACAGCGGCGTGCCGGCTCGCAACCGCGAAGTTCGAATACAATGCGAGCTGGCAGCTCGTACGTACACGTTGTTAGTGGCTGCCTACGTGAGCGGCATGGAGGGTCCGTTCCGTCTTCATGTGCAGAGCAATTATCCCGTGGAGCTCCAACAAATTTGGCCTGCAGCGTGGAAGACTGGTAATGGCACAATGACCCCCGTGCCTCATGGAACTCTGGTCGAAAGGATGGCCGAGAAGATGAAGCACACCGTGACCGAGTCAGCCGCTGGAACGAAGATCATGGCCAAGACACACGAGCTCGCTGATAAAATTGCAGCCGGTGCAGCTATCGTAGACAACGTCATGCGAGACGAAGAAAGCATTTTGGAGGAGCAACTTGCCAAGCAACAGCAGGAAGAAGCGGACGAGGCCGAGAAAAAAGAGACCCGTCTGACCGGTAAGAAGAAGAAGAAGACGGACCCAGACGCCCCGCAATCCAACCCGTGGATAGAGCAGTGGGATGAAGGTGCTGGCAAGCCCTTTTACTTTAACAAACAGACCGGCATGTCGTCCTGGGAGAAACCCGACGATTTCTAGGGAATGGAATGCGGATAATTTCCGAGCATGGAAATATAATACCGGTAATACAGTTTTAACATGGGTTTTCTTTTATGATCAGGTGAAAAATCGACACTTTCGGAGGTCAACCATTTTTTGCAACTACCACAAAGTCGTGCCGCGCCCGAAGAAGCTCTGAAATTTCGAGCATGGCATGCTTACTGTAGCTTAAAGAGTTGCATGTGGGTTGAATACGAAACATATTTAGGATGTTTATCTTTTATTTACAACAATGTGCGACTGCATGATGGCTATCTACAATGCTACTTTAGCTACAGTCGGCAGGAGACGTATCAATTGGAGTGTTTCGGGCGGACATTACACATCCTTTCTAGTATAGATGCTCATCGCCACGGTTAAAAGTTGGCCAGTGGCGTGGTTTCGCTGTTCTGTAGCAGAACTGGAGGCCCATCATGTGCTTGATTGTCCCCATATCACGCACTTCACCAATGAAGCCAACTTGGTGGTGCTCAAAGGTTTCCAAACGCTGCAAAACCATTGACAAATCGACTCAACACTCGAGTACTAGATGCCACATTAACTCAACCACTGCATGCTTTGTAGTAGGCATACTTGAATGAACTGATAGCTTTCTGGAGTATCTAAATGCGATCCCCGTAGGTGGACACGAAGAAGCATATTTTTATCTCCGGTTTGCGTTGTTCTCTCCTTCATATCCTGTCGACTGTGAGGATATCAATGCGTTATTCTTGTCTTTAATTGCACTCAATCTTTCTGACCTGTACCTTTGTAAACTGTACGAACAGTCCCATTAAGAGGTGGCGAGATTGTCACGCTTCGAGATCCAAAAATCCTTTGCTGAAGATGGTTTTGGAGGTTGAAAGTGGCAAACAACGCCGGGATTTGTATCTAGGTGCAGGGTCTTCAACATTGTGACTCGATGAATAGCCCGATGGGCTAAGTGGTTTCAACCCATGGAAAAACACGCAAAATACATAACCAGATAAATTGTTTGCGGTTGCATGTTGCACGAAGATGCGACCGTCGCCGACAGGTCGACATTCATGTGGGTGATCCAAAAACAACGACGGAGAGGTATTTACTTGTGCATGTAACTAGAGACTCTCAGTATTTGTACAGTGATGCATAAACTTTTGAACAATCTGACCGTTTAATTTACGTGTTTTTCGAATGTTTATACGGATATTCATTTTGCGAATACATTTATTAAAAAGCAGCAATATCATTAATGTAAAGAGGGTATCTTCATAGGAACGTATATGAATTATGCGAGGAAAGTCGGATCCCCGGTAGACCTTTTAAAAAAATAAATTTCAGAGAATTAATCTAATCATACTATATGATCCGAATTTTAATAAAATACCTGCTTATAACATAGAAATGGTTTAGCTGTGTTGTCAACATTTAGACAGCAATATTCTAAGAATAGTGGTGGGCTGTAGGGCCTTGGAACACGCGGAGTTTTCGAGTTACGACCGTTCAAAAACCGCATATTCGTACTTAAGAGCTGTTAATTCATATTTTAACCCCTTGGACGCGGAGCCTTGCAATACGGTCTTATGCTGTTCAGAACAGCATAAGAAACACTTGATTTCACTATGGCTCGAAATCCGCAAAACACGCTGTTCAAGTCTTCCCGTATTTAGATGATTTTGATTGGTCCACGTTTTGAAATCAACTAATTCTATTGGATAGCATTTACAGCCGGATTGAAGTTCCGAAGTACCGCGGGTAAGAGGCGGACTATATATTTTCAGAAAAATCAAATTTCGGTCCCCCTTCCGTGGCCACCACTCATTCTTCATTCCGAGCCCCAAGAAGCAAAATGGAGAATGTCGTGGATTTCAAAGTCGTGTGGCCGCTACTGCGCAAGGAAGGGTGGACATGGAAACCAGCAAAAGGGTTACAGATTCAGTAAGTGTTATGATATTGCTGCGTTTATTCGTACTAACTCTGATTATATATTACTGTAGTGCAAACTATTTGAAGCCTGGCTGCAAGCTTCGGGGAGGCAAGCACGAGGTGGACTACTTCAACAGCGAAGACGCGTTGCTTGTGCACGTAAAAGCGGATAAAGACCTCTGCACCCGCCTCCATCTCACCAACATCATGGTGCGCCCCAATGCAGTCCCACTCGGTAAGCGTTTGTTCACTTCAAACATATTTCGTGCTTCATGATGACATGTTGCGTGTTTTCGGTGCAGAGCCATTACCAACTTCGGTCTCGAGTGTCCCAAGTACCTCGGGCAAGAGACAAGAGCCTACAGTCGGGAAACAGCCACCGAAGAAGCTTGCAAAGACGGTAGGGTCTCGCAAGTCTGAAGACAAAAAGAGCGAAAAGAAGCAAACGCCCAACACGAAGAAAACGAAGAAGCAAGAAGCAAAAGAAGCCACAGAGAGACGCCGCCAGTTGTCGTCGTTCGCAAACATCTGGGGTGCTGCTAATGCTCAAGGTATGCTGATATGTTGTTGTCTGGTGTTTCTAGTGGTTATAACATGATGAATGTTCAGACAGGGACGGTCGAGAGGTAGAGGCTCCAGATCAACCTCCAGTCCAACAAGAACCCCACATTAATGCTGACACGGAAGGTACGTTATTTTTAGTTTATGCTGACTTGAATGTGATGCTGACGCGAACACAAAGGTTTTCAGATAATGCTGACGAAAACAGTCCGCCGCCTGCTGACATGGAAGGTGTATATTGATTGTTTTACGCTGACTTGAAAAGATAAGCTGATGGGGATGTATGTAACCCGCAGATTGTGCTGACATCCACGACGACGTAGAGAGTCGCTCCGGTGATGGATCGGAAAGTGAATACGAAGACGACCCAAACGCTGCTGAATCTGAAGTGGACGATGAAGATGATGAGAATTCCGTAGCCGAATGTGATGATCGAGAGGATGATCAGGGTGGAGAGGACACGCAAGGCGCTTCGCTTCGGCATCCAGGTGCTGTGGAGACCCATTTCGAGCCCCTTGGATTTGCCGACGCAGAGCCAAGTGATCCCAATCTCGTCCTCGGTGATATCGAGAAAAGCATTGAGTCGGATGAAGAGGGCGAAGACTCTGTCGGCGTTGCAGATATGCTGGACACAGATGATGAAGTAGAGTCCCTTTGTGAAGAATCTGTTGTCGTCGAAACTAGCCGGATCGCCGGTTTGTTGAACGAAGTCGAGTTGGAAAGGCTACACATGGCAGTGGAAGGTATGTTGAAAAAGGTAGTGCGTTGTGATGACCGAGTCAACTTATTAAACTGAATTTACGCTGACAGGATCATCCGAAGTCTTTGACGACAACCAACTAGCAGATATGGCGGCTCGAGGCTGGACCGTGTACCCTGAAAATGAGGTTGCGGACATTGTCGACGATCCGGAAGTTGACAAAGTGTACGAAGGTTACTGTGGACCGTCGAAAGATGTCTTAGCATCGGTCAAATCACCACTTTCCCTGTTCCTCTACTTCCTGCCGAGGGCATTCTGGAGGCATGTTGCGCGCGAGACACACCGCTACTGGGAGCAGACGTTTGACGCTCGCCTGAAAAAGGCTCTGGTGAAAGAGACTGAAGTGACCCATCAGCCACAGAAGAGTAGAGACAAGTTACGCAGAAAGCTAGAGCGCTTTGAGAGGATTGCGCCCCATGAAATTGTTCAATGGATTGGTTTAATATTGGCACACACGTTGAACCCTCGTAAGAGTTTTGAGATGCACTGGTCTACAGCGGAAGACGATCTTATTCCCGCTGGAACGTTCGCCAAAGTGATGTCACGAGATCGGTTTCGAGACATTACGAGATTCCTCCATTTCTCAGACAATCAGGAAGCTGCAGCAGCTCGTGATCGTGCTTGGAAAATCAGGCCAGTCTTGTCAACGGTGGAGAAGACATTCAAAGAAGGCTATGTTCTAGGCTGTTCATGTCAGCTTATGAAAAAAGTCTAATGCTGTCGCGAACAACAGATTCCAGAAATACTACAAAAGCCTGTTTCTTGGAGTGGTCGACATGGCGGTGGTGAACGCCTACATTGTACACGCTTACGTCTGGGAGAAGGAACGAAAGAAGAAGATGTCACACTACTCTTTCTTGACAACTTTACACAGACAGCTCATTCAGGAGACGGATTCCTCCTTTACGGAGGCAGGGACGTCGACTGAGCCGTCGGCTGGAGTACGTGAAAAACCTATCGCTATCCAAGGTGACCATTCCCTCGTCCAAACTACTGACACCCGTCTAAACAACGGTGTCCATCGTTTACGCCAAAGACAATGCAAGGTCTGCTCCTACTACAAACCGGCAAACAAGAAGAGGGGTGGAACTTCTACGTTCTATTGCGTGAAGTGTTCCGAAGGCAAAAGGGGGCAGGTGACACTCTGCAACAAGGTGCGTGGACACCAAGCGAACGAGGGCATGACTTGAGCCCAGATATGGCACATCCTGTGGCAGAATGGCTTGTTCGCCCCAAAAGCAAGTCACATTCGCGATCGTAGCCTAGCTAAGCCGTAAGGGAAATACATAGAGCTGAATTAAGACACACAGTAGCACAAATAAGTCATTTAGTTTGCTAAGAACACCTTCTACGTTGTTGGCACTGCCTCTGTTTGTCTTTCTTGGGTCGCTTTGCTGTCCGTCCTGCCAACTCTTGTTCTCTTTGTGCTGTGTTGATGTGATGGTGAATGCGTGGCCTCTCCTTCTGGTCTCTAAATATCGGAGTTGCATAAACATACGGGCAAACAGTTCATTGGAGAATTTTATCCGCAGATCATACCAAAACTCTATACCGGAATAATCACCGAGCAGCTTAGCAACAAAGGCGTCGAAAAAGGTGCATTTAACTTCTTCGCTAAAATATAGCATAATTTGTTTAAGTGAAATACTTATACCCTCCGGGAGGGTATAAGGCTTTTTATTAGCCTATCCCTGTCACCCCTCCGCGTCCAAGGGGTTAACGCGTGAAATGGCTTCTTTCTTTCCATTTTTGGCTATTGACCAATAGGAATTGCGCGAGATGCGCCATGTTAAAATTATATTTCACGCAAATGCGTCCAATAACAATCAATAGTACTTTACTTTAATAATAAACTATTCTGTGAGCTTAACCCTTTCGCGAGCCACTTTAATAAACTATAGTAAACAAATCTAGGATAGTCGGTATCAAATGGAGGCATTTTGCCTCCTTCAAGGCGAGTGATGGACCACCTTGTGATTTGCTTGGTTTTTCTATGCCTGTCGTAAACGTACTTTAATTATCCCTTTCGTGGTCAATGGGGGCATTTTGCCCCCTTTTGGAG